CTCATTAGATCTCTAGGCAGCCATAGATTTCCTTTATATGGAAATTACTGGCTTGAGTACAAACATTTGTCAAATATAGGAAGTCCCCAGGTTATGAAACTCTGGATTACGAACAACCCCAGGTACAAATGGGCTGCTTGCAGTACTCAAAATGGTAGACAACCAACCACAATGAAATCTGATTCAAGAAAAAAAAAATGCAGGTGCAATGCAGGAGAAGAGGCTATGGCTCAACAGTGTAGGATCATCTACTCTCCTTCATTGCATTTCCAAGTCCCACTCCCTCCTTGGCTCATGATTTACACAATTCTCACTTCTGCCTAGGGTCTGAATGCAGTCAGGTCTATTTTCAGCTGTTCATAATAAGACGACATTGGATTAAGTAATTTGTTCTGGTTTAAATGCAAATTTGGTTTGAGGACAGAGTTAGAAACAAAACTTGTCCTTAACGTAGGAAATTGCTCTAAACAAAAGGAATTGCAGAAAATTTCAGTAACTCCTCCAAACATCTCGATGGGCTCAGCTGGTGATCAATAAGGGCCATTTGATTTAATAAATAACTAAACCTTGTTTTTAGTAATTAAAGACTTAATTCAGGGAGTTTCATTTTCTTCCTGCTATCCAACAGGCTATTGTTATAGTTTCAAAAGTATTTGCTATGCAACAACTGAAAAATCTGGCAGGTAAAATTTGCAAAATATTCACTATGCTAGAGCAAAAAGAAAAATGCTGTGGTAGAACAAAAGGAAAAAAATTGAATAGTAATAGAAGAGGAAAAACGGCCAACAAAGAACAAAATACCAACATTCCTAGATTCTTGCATTATATAATCAACAATGGGAGCAGCATTCTTTGAGAATGCATTCCAAATTGGAGAAGAGATTCCTGCCAAATTTGACCTTTAGGAACTTTCATATGAAGACGCAGGTAGGACCAGACACAGATGTGTGAATCACAGAAACTAACAAAATTATGAACACATAATTATTTAATGGGAGAAACATCACAGTAATATTTGGGAATTATCATTTCCTAATTATGTTTTGCAATATTAAAGATGCAATTAGCAGGGCAGCAAAAGATAAAAAGCTAATACTAATTTTTTAAAGCTCTTAATGTTACAAATTTGATAATGGGACCAAATTTTTTAAAAAATATTTATTAATATGAAATGTATGCATTTCTTAAATAAATGTACAATAGAAGACGGATTTTATTTGCATTTTCAGATAATAATGTTTAGTTAAAGAACTCACTTTAGACTAAAAGCCAATAATAAAAATAGATTTTTCATAATTAATATTAAGGACTTCTAATTGATATCTTAATTAGACTTTATAATGGAAATGTTATACTAACTAAAATGAATTCCTATGAACCATTAACCCATCTATGTTTTAGCAGCATAAATAATAGTAATAACGGTAAGATTCGGACAGCATTTTGTATCTTAGACTCTAAGATACATTTAGTATATTGGGATTTAGTACTAATTATGTATTTAATTTGACATTTAATATTGATAATGAACATAAATAATCTAAGAAAGCCCACTGATGGGCTGTGGAAAAATTTTGCAGAAGAAATGGCCTCCAAAAGCAATTAATCTGGGCTGTGCAGTTCTCGCGCCTTCCGGCTCTCCAAGGGACCCTGGAGTCAGGTCCCTGAGATGCACGGACCTCCCACACACGGTGGCGGCAGCAACAGTCCCCACCCCCAGCGCTTGCTGTCAGCTCTTCCCCATTAGTTCTCTACCTTTGAATTGCTCCCGCCTCTCTTTCCTTCCCCCTCCCCCCACATGCAGGCAGGCAAGGAAAGGGAGACAGAGCCATGCGCAGCTCTCAGCTCTTCCAGCCCTCACTGCCTCTCCCAACATCTAATCCTCGGAGATGCAGGCAAAGCCGCCACAGCGGTAGCACCGAGTTGCCTTAGCATGCTCGGTTAGTTAAGAATCGCCCTACCCAGAGAAGGAAGTGGTGCTGGAGGGGGAGGCAGTAGAGGAGAAGCAAGCAATTGAAGCCGCTACCGCTGCGGCAGCTTTGCCTGTATCTCCGAGGCTCTTCCCCAGGAGTTCTGTAGCTTTGAATTGCTCCTGGCTCTCTCTCTTTCCTTCCCCCTCCCCCCCACATGCAGGAAGGCAAGGAAAGGGAGACGGATGCCTGAGAAGTCCGTGGAGTGGCAGCAAAGGGGCACTGCCCCCCCCCCAAAGCCCCCTTTCTGTCTCTGCTTCTCCCAGAAGCAGTTGTTCCAAGGCCCCTCAGCTCAGAGACACACACACACACACTCTGCCAGCTCTTCTGTTTCTTTGGAAGGTGCCAGGTGGGGGGAGGCTTCCAGCCCGGAATCATTAAAATTTACATTTTTGTTATAATTAAATAAGTAAGTGTGTGCGTGTGTGTATTTATATATATGTTTTGTGTGTGTATGTATGTATGTATGTATGTTATATATATATATATATATATATAAATATATATAACATAAAATTTTTATATTAAATATATTAGCTTTTAAAAATAATTCGTATTAGTGGTCCTCGGGATTTGAAAGTATGAGTTTGGTGGTCCCTGAGATCCAAAAGGTTGGTGACCCTTGGTCTAAGACACTTTGGGCTTAGAATGTAGTTTATTTTTATTTTGAAAAAATAAATGTAAAAATTTATGTTTGATGAAAACTTTCTGGAGAAGCAAATATCTGTCATACATAACTGCCAGAAAATCCAAATCAGAATTAATAGAGTACTCTGTTCTTTAATCATATGCGTGTTCCAGAAGGTGGTGCTGGGAGACTATTCTTCAACCATGATTATTTTTGCTTTAGGGATCAAATTTATCTTCAAAATTCTATTTTCACACACACACAAATATTTTTTTAGAGCTATCCATCATTACTGATATAATATTAGTTTGTAGTTTTCATTAGATCAACCTTCAAACTGCACATAGTTGCTAAATGTAAGCATTTTTGGAATCAAGGATATAGGAAATGGTGGATAATCTATCTTAGAAAAAAAATATTTTTATTGAAAGTAGAAAATAACAACTATGAAGTTGTTTTTGATATAACATTTGACAAGAATCACAAGAGAACATATCAAAACTCTGGTTACCTCATTCAGAACCAGATAAGAATTTTACTATAGTATTTCAGGTAGACTTTGACTTAGTCGGCAATTTAGTGATTGTTCAAAGTTTCAACAGTTGCCCCTCCCCCACCCAATCATGTGACCAGGCACACAGCAACTGGGCTGCATTATGGCCATTTGCAGCATCCCACAGTCACAGCGTTTACTACAAAAATGGCACGTACTTCTTAAGATCATTTGCTTAACAATTACCACAGAAAGATCATAACATTGGGCCAGCCACATGGCAATCTGCTTTACCACCATCATGAATTAAAACCATGATGGATATGCTCCATTATGGTCTAACTTCAGCATGTGCATCACAGTTGTCACAGGACTACCTGTACATGATTTGGCAACTTCTAAACAGGACTATTAAATCATGTTGAATGTGGAGCTACATAAAACAGATTGAATTAAAATATTGTTGACTAGAATTGTACATAAAGCACATGTTATCAATTTTGTGAGAATTCTAATGAGTTTTATATTTTTCCCAAGCCAAATTTAAAACTGCTGGTCTTAAATTTGTAAAGCCCTAAATAACATGGATTCAAAATGTTTGACAGAATGCTTCTTTTTACATGAATAACTAAACTATGGAAGGAGGTATGATAGAGTCATGCTTTCTCAATTTTCTGAATCTCCACTAGCTCCAATTTTCTGGATCTCCTTTCTGAAGGATAAATGTTGCCTGACTCAGTCTGCATACTTGGTTCTAATAAGACAATAGAAATTTTATATAGCTGATTTTTAAATTATTGTTTATATTATTGCTTGTAAATTTTGGTTATCCTTCTGTTATACTTTTCTAGACATTGTTATTTTGCCATGTTTGTACTTTAATGTGAAAAATGCTAAGTTGAGAAGTAGCTTAGAAACTAAATGCTTTACTTTCAGTATCAAACAAAATCTCCAAATGAAATTTAGCAACACAAAAAATGAATTTAATCAGAAAATTCTACGTAAGAGGCAAAAAAAACCAGGGATCAAGTTCTGCAATAAAGTGTACATTATACTTCAGATACTATACAGTTCATATATGCAACATGTGGATGATATTATAAGAAGACAGTTGTAACGAAGTTGTAAATCACCTCTCTGATTTAAAAATTGCATTACTGCCATGCTAAAAACATGCCTGAACTGACATATAACCACGTGCAACTGTTCTTATCAAACTAAACACTTCATCTTCATTTTTTAATACAATTCACTGCTACCTTTCTCCACCATTTCAAACGTTTGCCAAATATACTCAGAATATTGAAAAGCAGTATGCAATTCAAAAGACTTTATGTAAATAGCAAACTATAAATAGGCTTGCATGATCTTTTTGTGTGTGTTTACATTAGCACATTCTTGACTTCTCCCTGAATCAAGCACTTCAGACTTATTTTATGCACGGTAACTGCCATACATGGCTATAAGTTAAATACAAAGAAAGATCTAGCAAACTTTAAACAAAAAAGTAGGAAAAAGTACATGTTCAACCAGCTCCCTTCATACAATACACAAAGTAAAGATTCAGAATATTTCCCAGATCAGAAAAAGAAACCCCAGCTTGTTCTGATCCCATGTAGTCTTCAGAATTTCCCCCAAAAAACTATGCACGCTCATCTATTTATATCATTCCAAAATCAGCTAATGATCCAAAAAGCACTAAGGGTTTGAATATAGCTAACAAGTAGCCATCCACCTTTTATAAGGTCAAATGATAACAAAATGCTGAAGGGTTGTTGTTGTTTTTTAAATTATATTACAAGATTCAATCTGGGCAAAACAAATGCAAGAATCCAATCTGAAACCTGTTACAGGAAAATTCATCCCATGACTATTCATCCCAAGACCATAGTATTGGCTGTTACAGTACCTGGCTGGTTTGTGGACTGGACGGGTCATAAGAATAATTCTTCAAAGTATCCTGAGGATTCAGGTGAGGAGGGTATCGGATAGTTGGGTGAGAGAAATAGCTAGATGGGGCAGGAGGAAGAATAGCTTGTGGTGGAAATGGCAATGGTGAAGGTGGAGGTGGAGTTCTAGTTGAGATGACTAGAGAGAAAGAAAAATACAAGTTGTTTAGTATCTTTTGTATAATAAAATTCAGCACATAAGACAGTAGAGAAAAATCTAAATCAAACATATACCACAAAAACAAAAGTATTTATTTTCTTTCCATCTTCCCATTTTTAACCTACAATCTTTTGGACCACTGGTCCTTCATACTCGAAGCGTCTCAGGAGACAGATAGTTTTTTCCTTTAGTGATGCAATTTTGCTTTACTGTGCATTTTTACTCTATTGTGCATACTTCTGCATAGAGAAAGCATTGCATTTCAGAAAGTATATTTGTTATCTAATACAATCTAAAACTAAGGTAAATCAATTAAATTAAAAGAATAAAACATTTTTTTATCGAATGTTAAGAGACATGGTCCGAAGAAGCAGCAAATGATCTAACAATACTTTCCGCTACAGCCTAGCTAAATGCATGTATGAGGGTGGGAGGTGGGGAATAATTACTAAGCAATAACACCATGAATAATTAGCAACCCATTGTGAAAATGCTAATGAATGTTCAACTTAAGGGCCTGGGAAAATCTTTCACCCAAGATCTTTCTGAACAAAAAGGCTATCATATCCCATACAGATTCCCCCCCCCCCTTACATTTCTCTACCATGCAATTGTGTGCTAAACCTAAAAACACAGTAAAGTCCTCAGCAATAAAGGGAATATACAGATTATCTTGTATCTCTAACTAACTTGCAGAGTTAGTACCTCAGTGATGGAAGATACATTATACTTCAATAATTAATATCATTTCATTTATATATATGATATATCGCGTAAACAAGAAATAGGGAGGAAAAAATGAACATGTTATGATATTGTATCATATAGGGAGAATAAATATACAGCTATAGCTTTAATTAATATACCGCCCATCTCACTTTGCAAAGCATGTATTAGCTAGGGTGTAGTTTTACAACCTAGGCCAATGAAAATCTACTCCACTCATAAATATGACTGTGGAGAAAATTCAGTATCAGAACAGCTCTTGATATAAGGGCTGTAATAATGTCACTTCAGTTCACAGAAAGGCCTTCCTATTATTTAACGATCTCTTAAATGACATGTTTACACAGCTGAAAATTTGAAGGTTTAAAAGTCTTTCATTAAAGTACACTATAAGCTGTCAATTAAGGTCTTACTTCCATGTATAAAGAAGGAAAAAAACCCAAACTGTTTTCTTGAAGAGTCAACATACATCAATGACACTACATTCTTTTATTAAAAATAAGTTATGTCCCCAGACATTTAAAAAAGGACTAACATCAACTGTGGCAAAATAAAAATTTCAAGTAAAGTGCTTTTTACATTTTTACAAATAACAATGTCTAGCTAAAGTTCAAGGATTTCCAGTAGAGAGGCAACAAATAATAGATAATCTTCATCATACTTATGGAGCTAAACTGTTTGGGACCTGCAATTGATTTGAATAAGCATAAACAAAACCTTAGCATAAGGCTTCTGGTCGTGAACAGATCCTTGGGTGCTGATCAATCAGCAATTTTCCTTCTGTGATGATTTCCCCTTCCACGCATGTGCAGAATTGTACGCACATGCACAGTTAGTCTCACTTCTGTTCGCAACCAAATTGGGTTGCGACCGAAGTCCTGAGCAGATTACGGTTGTGACCTGAAGTTCCTCTATATCTAGGAAGGCTTGGAAACATGGCTTTGCCACCTAGGCTGGGAATTCGATAACATGGGTATAAAGCCTACTGATTGTTTGCATTGCTAGTAAAATTCAATGTGCTTTCCTGTAGATTATGCTTTTTAAAACAATTCTTAATAATTTCATTGTTTTTAATGGTTTTTGATGTTACTTTTTTGGTGATTTTGTTGTTTTGGTATTGTGTAACTCTGTATGCTATTCAGAGTCCCATATATTAGATAGGCAGCTATAAAAATATACTAAATAAATAAATATATAAATAAAATAATTACTGACACTATCTTGCTGATCTGACACTGAACACAAATTAAAATTGTTGGGTAAAGAGTTTAGTTGTAGGCTGCCTTCATATTTTACAATCATTATGATAAAAATATAATTTATAAATTTGATTGTAAATAATAAAGCAAGAATTTTTAGAAAGTCACCAGGTGCAAAATCTTGCTTGAGCTATCCCAATAAAAATGCTACACGGGGTTGTTTTGTTCCAAGTTCAAAATATAATTTTATTCAGTTTCTGATAATCAAGACAGGTCTTTTTTCTATCCACAAAGATTTTAAAATTATATTAGAAGTCTAAAAGCACAAATATAGTGTTTCACTATGACTGAAATAAATTAAAAAATGAGAGTTTGCTCAATCTTTTATCCTATATAGTTGACTTAATAGAATAAATTCTACCTCTTCTGCGCATTCCCTCCAAATCTGCTTAAATAGCTATTGGGATCCAGACAAATGACTGTCAACCCACTGCCAAACTGCTGCTCCAGTTTGGAAGCTAATCTGCCTTTCTATAGCTTGAATCCATTACTCTACACCCTTCACAAAATGAGAAAGACCTTGAACTTCTATTATGTGACATCTTCTCAGGTATTTAAAGCATGCTACCATGGCCTCTTCAACTAACTTTTTCTAAAGCTAAAGATAACAACCCCCCACCTCCCCTCCCAATCAACTTCACTGAACCTGTTTCAACTTCAATGAATCACTGTTATGCCCCAAACTAGACACAATTCACAAAGTGAAATCTCAGAAGTACCATTAATTCACAATGTAATGATTAAATAACTGGCTGGAATGACTTCCTGTATATATTTATCACACCTGTGTAAAAAACTGAGTCAGACTCAAAGTATCAGAATGACTATGGTAAGCCCCAAACGTGATTTGACCGAGCTTTGTCCGTTATATCAGTTTCACAGGATTTTAAGAGCTGCGGGTAAGGGTTAGCTTTTAATGAGTCAAAGCTTACTGTCTTATACTACAGACTCCTGTCTTCCTTTCCACAAAACACCAGGCACTACATTGGCCTATTTAAAAGCCAATCTTTTTATGTTGCCCTTCCACAGCAATTAATTCCTTTAACAATTTGTATTTTAATGGCTTGTTTTTATTTATTTATGTATTTATTCATTGCGAGAAATGCTAATCACTGTCAACTGCCTAAACAAATCCCTGCAATTTTCTTAGGAAGTGATTTGCCATTGCTAACTTCCTAGAATTGGGGAAAAAGTTTCTGGTACACTATCACCCTGTTCACTTTGGGCCTAAGTTACGACTAGACTTCACAATCTCCTGGATTCTAGCCTGATGCCTTAACCGCATCAAACTGGTTCAACATGTTTTTATTTTACTATTTTTCTAATTATTAAATAAAACAAAACTCCTAGGGATGTGATAAAACGGATGTCTCTCCAAAATGAGATGTTGTTTACATTAGCTAAACAAATATACTGTAGTTCAGCTGAAGCAAGAGAAATTTTCCAAGCCTCCAGCTCATAGGATATCTGGTATAATTTTGAGTTAACTTCTGAATTTATATTACATTTACCCAACCTTCCTGTATTTTCTTGCATTTTGAAAAATAGACATTGAGATATTTTCTATCACTTTTGTTTCCTCACCACTGTGTGCAACTCCTGGGATTCCTGGATGATGATGCTGGAAAGTCAGTCTTGGCGAAGAATCCTGGGGAGATGTAGTGCTAAACAAAGGCTTTTCAGGTTTCTTCATTGTAGGAGAAGACATATCTGCAATGGCATACAACACAACATGTCCATTAACCCCAACATTACAATCATGATTCTAGGTAAATTGATTATGCTCTTTTAACATTAACAGTTCCTAGGTTAGTGACTAAAATGCACTGCATTAGAAAACAGTAAAGGATATGCATTACTTTAGATGAACACTTATAGGCTTCCTCGAGTAACCATCAAATAAAATTCTAAGACATAAGAGATGCTATCACCAATTTTTATGGGGTCATTATATAAGATTTGCACACCTCATATTTACACAATAAAATCATACATAAACACACACACGTGCCACACACACACTTGCTTTAAAATGCATATCCACATCAGCAATTCCACTGTTAGTAACTACTTTTTAATATACTGTATATCTGTATTTATTTCACAAAGGCAGTATAATTTTCCTCTCCTTTACAACTAATCCTACAAATGTTATATATAATCAGTATAGATCAGTTGACATATTCTCAATTCTTTTTACCTTACATGTTTACTTTCATTTCCAGTTTTCACTACATATTAATTAAAGACTGTTTCATTGATTGATTGATTGATTCAATAAATGAATTTATTTATTCATTCATTCACCATTTCGCAATATCAATTCAAGGCAACTTACAACAGGATTATTCTGAGGTTTGCCAAATACCATTTAAGATTACAAATCCCTTGGAAAAAATGAAAATGCAAGTTACTAAGAAACATCTCCATCACTATTACAAAGACTGCTTAGCCATTCATTACTGTTTAGTTGTTTAAGTAACAAAAAATTATAAATTACATAAATCAAACAATTCATCCAAAGTAATTTTATTTGAGGTTATTTATTTTTTTAAATTAACGAATAGACATAAAGGATTTCAGAAACATGGGGCATACATGTTTAATTCTCTATCCATCTATGATGGATGCCTCAGTGAAATCAAGTCTAGCCCTCTATTTTTCTCTTTCTCTTCCTGTCTAATCTATCTGTCAGAGGTTCTCTAAAGTTAACGGAATTGCCTCAATGAAATATATTTTCTCCTGACAGCCAGTTTAGTCTAGTGTTTAAAATATTGCATTATGAGGAAGAATTTGGATTCTACTTCTGTCTTAAGCCTGGAAGTCAAGTGGGTGACCTTGGGCTAATCACACTCTATTTCAGCCCTAAGAAGAAGGCAATGGCCAACTACTTCTGAAACATAGAGCAGAAAAACTGCAGGAACTTTTCCATTAAGCCAAGAGTGGCACAACCCCCCCACCACCACCAAATTGTCAACTTCATACTAAATAAATTGAATGTACTGTTTATTTTCCAAATAAATAGCTTTCTCATTTTCTTAAAACTCATTTTATAAGAATCTACTTGAAAAGATTTAACTATTGGCTTTTCATATAATGATTCTTTCATGATTGTGAGCGTGAGATTACAAAGAACCCAGGCTGAGATTAAAGTCCTAGGAGGTTGTTGTGGCACTTGATAGGCCCAACAGATCCAAATTCCCACCTTGAAGATAAAAAGCTCTCAAAATCAATGAATTTGCTCCTGCTGTGTGCTTTGAGCCCAAAAAGAGTTCAGAGGGTTTGCTTCTTCCGATTTAAACAGTAGCCCACTGACATTTTCAAGCAGAACCTTAGTAACTATTTTTTTTCTTAGTCTCACCATTTTTTTCTGTTAAAAAATATACTGTAGCAGGAATGTGGAAACAGGCATGGGTTGGTTAACAAACTTCAGACTTCAGTACTGCCTTGTACATCTAGGTACAGACTAACCACTACCGAATTTATATAATGCAATTTCAAAAAAGAAAGAAAGCAGCATATAAAACATTGATTTCTAAACTTAAAAAAGGAAATAAACAGTACAGACGTTACTGACAGTCGAAACTTGTACTAAAAACTACATTGACCGAACTGGTAGGTTACTATGAACACTACTTCATACGTTAGTTCATAATCTCCCATCATTAAACAACATTTGAAAAAAAGAATTGAACGGTTCAAAGATACAAAAATTATTTTCCAAGTTAAATATGAGTAGAAGTTCACAATTAGTAAAGTCTTGTTTTCAGACACATATCCTTGTCAATTAATAAATCTAGTGAGAGTCCTGTGTTTCTTCAAAAGGTAAAGTAAATCATTTTAAGTGAGCTTTATTGTCTTGGTAAATAAATAACTTAAATAAATAATTGCTTCAGGGAGAGAGACAGGAAATTGTGAAAGAAAAGTAAAATACTGACATGCTTTAGATGTGACTAAATCAAAACATGTTATTCTGAGACAAATATGTTTGTACCAAGTACAAACTCTTGTCTGTATTTAATATATCAAAAATGGATTAGGTATTCTCCACTGATTATTTCTGGGACTACATGCATCTGTGATGTATTTTTAAGGAAGAAACTTAAGCATATTTTAATTAATCACATCAACAATATATGTTGTAGCAATTAGGATCACATGATGAAATGGGTGATTCATAGTGGAGTAACAAACATAAGGTACCCCAAACAGAGCTATGTAAAGCATTTGAAAAGGGTACACCACGAAGCATGTTAGCAAAACACCCCTCTTTGATGTATTGAAACAGCGGCATATGTTAGGAGGCTCAGCACAACTTCTTTCCCCAATGGAAGCATTGTTTTGGATGCACATATATGCAAAGACAATAGAAGAAAGCTTTTGCAGCAGCTGCCTCAACTTCCCGAAGAAACAGCTGTTCTAATGCTTCAAAAGGAGGAATGCATCATTCACACCAATGCACTTTCTGAAGCATCTTTTAAAATGTTTTGCACAGCCCAAATTCAAAACTGCAACAAAGCCACTTACGCCAGTAATGGAATGGATTCTATTAATTGTGGATCAAACTGACAGATGCAGTAAAAGAAATCGAAGTTAGTATGGATTTAACATTACAAAGTTGTCCGGCTTCATTTTAAATAGCCTTCTATAGCCTAAGTCCCCCCTACCCTTTAAATGTGAAAATTACAATGTTGAGAATATCCCAAACATCTTCACCATTGTTGATAATTTTGTGAGTTAAAGTGCCAAGACTCAGAGGAGCTGAGCTAAAACTATACTATGTGTTCTACAGTACAGGAAAAAAAAAACCTGTTGTCATTTTGTAAATTTTGGTTACTAATATCCTGATACCATCACTTTGTATGTATATGGTAATACAGAGTAGACAACGGTATCTGAATACATTCCTGAAGAAATTAAACAGAAGCTTGGATAAATTAAAAGCTTCAGTTATTACTCCAAGGTATTAAAAAGATAAAAAATATGCATATCTGGATTGCATTACATAGTAAATCTGAAATTACTAGCATGTCAGTGATACAAAGGCCCAGACAAATTGGAAAAAGTTAGATCAATTCATTTCCCAACAAGGTAACTGCACCTACAAAGTAAAGCAAACAAGTAAGTTGCTATGAAGCATAGCGCATGTAACTCACTCAAGGCAGCTTGCACACATGGTGCTCCAGATGTATATCTGTTCAAGTTAGCCCAAGGCAACTATTTTGATCAATTCTAATGAGATAAAATGCTGCAGGGATAATGTGCAGAAATGTGTTTACGTCAGACTTTAATTAAACTGTTGTTTGCTTCCCAAGAACCATAAGAGACACTAATGAAACATGAGTTTCAGCAATTTCTTCATCAAAAGGCAAGCCCCTCTGCTTCTCTGAGCAGACTGCCCTCCGAGGAACTCCCTTGGTAAATGTCACATGGTACACCAATCACGAAGCCACCTGCTAAACAGAACTCGAGTCAACATGTAAGTGAGGCAAAGCTTAAGGATCCACTTGCCTGCACTGGACACCTGCTTAGCTTTCACAGACAGCAACAACAGTATGTCAGTTTTCCTATGAAGTTATAGGGAAATCACAATGGGATACCAACACAGATGCAGAGTATTTTGGAATCTACTTCACCAGCTTAAATCCCAAATCCATTTCCATTTAATAAAAGCTCCATACTTGATTTAGATACTGAAAGCAATGCATTTGAGAGTCATAAATAAAATCATAAACAGAAGGTATCAGAATAGTCCCGTTTGCACAATGGATGCAAAGTCAAGAAGTTACACTATGTGCCAAAATAGGGAACAGACTAACCGAAAATAGGGAACAGAACTGACTCTGAATATTTTTATTTCATATACATGACTTTAAAGTATCATTATGGAAGGAAAAAGGGAAAAAAAGTAGACCACTGCCCATAGTTCACACAGATCTAATGCCATTCAATGGGGTCCTTAGGAAACATGGGCCTTATTTCTATCCCCTCATTCTGCTTGCAATTAAGGTCTTTTTTCAAATAGTCTATAAGACTAAAAATAAAGGTAAGAATAAATGTACTTTCTAAATGCCTTCCTACTCTATATGTGGCTTACTAGAACCTTCCTACTCCCCTTAAATGAAATCAACTCATTAAATCCTAGTAAACGCTATTTAGTTTTTACACATCATAATTAGTTTGGATTACAACATCTAGAAAATGTCTTTAGAATATTTTTATAACTGAGACTGAACTTTAAAAACAAAATATAAAATCTTGGTTGTGATTAATTTAACTCCAAAATTCCAAAAGTGTTTGCTACTGGAAAATACGGTATTGTATTAAGAATTGATGTAATCTTATGCTGAATGCAATGCAATTTACTTACGTACAGAAAAACAACAAAGATACATTGAAGAATTTTGCATTACAAATTACCATTTTTAAGAACGGATTAAAATTCAGTTACATGATTTAAGCTCAATGCAATCATTGAAACATATTAAGGACGTGTTTATATCATTGAGATTCACATATCTATTTCCATTTTGGATTATGGCTACAATGTTTGTACAGCAACTATTATATTAATTCTGTTAATACAAAAATCATAAATCTACAAATATACATATGATAACATAGCAGATTCAATAAAAACACAGCCTAGATAAATCTTTAATCTCAGTCCACAACTTTAGCAAGTTGTAATTTCAGCTGCTTAAAGCACT